GCTTCGACACCGTTGACAGCCGAACAGGTGGTGACGTACGCCAGCGCCGCGGGCAGGTTTGCATAGTTCTCGATAAACCGAACTAACTCGTCGAGTCCTTGAGAATCATCCTTTCTTCGAGAATACGTGTTCGATTGCACAGGAAGGACTACGTCGTTCTGTACATCCTGTCGATCGCTTTGGCTTAGGCCACGGAACGGCACTTTGTCGATGCCCTGAAGGACATTCCGAGCTGCTCCTTGTTTTTCACTGAAAGCCTCGAGTGCTTTGTCCACACTTATTATATCATCGAGACCTACGCTCGCATTGAGATCATCATTAAATGCGCGAACAGCCGCGGCAATCGTCTGATTTCCAACGGCCAAGCACTGCGGGTTTCTTTCGAGCTTCAAGTGTGTCACAGACTTCTTGAAGAGCACAGCAGGCGCCAGGGCGTATCTATGGTTCATTCCGGTCAACAGGTCCTTGATTTGTGGCACTGTCATCGACGTGGACACATTCCCCGCCTTCAACAGGGCATGCACAAAGTCGGCGACGCGTTCTCTTTTGTCCCGGCGGAGCCATATCCAGAACTCATCACGTAACGACAACGACCTCTCAGTAGCACCGCCTGCAGCCCTTGTAGCAGAACTGGCTTCTCTTAAAAGCTCCCAGGCGAATGCTATTCTGAATGCCGGTGGCAGGTAGGAGGAATCGGGTGCTTCAGCGTTCGAGCACACGTAGCCGTACAAGTCGGTGCAGGGGTCGCCAGTCGTGTTGAGCAGGGAAATGGTGGGGACCATTTCGTCACCGCACTGGAGGGCCGGCGCCTTTTCCCCCTGGTAGGTCTCGTGCGGTTTCTTGAAGAACACCAGCAGCACAGCGGCGATGAACGCAGCTACCAGCGCGAAAGATATAGCTGTGAGCAGTGCACTATGGGAGTGGGACTGCGTGGTGTGAACGTCGGCGCCGATGACCGTGGGTCTGAGGGTGCGGGACGACGCGAGCTTGACGCTATTCCTTCCCTCATCCATGGCTGCTTGGATGACTGGTTCGCTTGATGATGATCATGCATACCTTATTAATATTGCGCCTGCACCCACTCAAATGTAGAGTTGATCAGCGGAATCGTACGCTAATGTTACAATATCTGCAGAGCCTTTCTTTCTTTTTTTCTTTTTTAGATGCGAAGCTTCGTAGCGTCGAGTACAATTCGGTGTGCGGCGTGACTACCACTATACTGCGCATACGCGTCACATCCCCCATACAGCTTTCTAAAATTAACTGGGCGGGGGGGGGGGGTGGAACTTTGGCACGCCGATCGTTTAGTGACCATGGGAATGATGGGTAGTACATGGATTTGCCTAGTCTTCGTACTTGCGGGCCTCGAATCGCGCTTTCGACTTTGTTTATATTGCTGTGTTTCGATTTCGTTTCGAATGAAAGAACAAATTGGTGTGCCTAAAAAATGAAGGTGGTGAAGCGCAACTGATAAACTCATCAATAGCCTGAGCCTAACGCGTGGAATAAGCGCGCTCTCTTCGTGCACCTCATCTTCGCGCCCCAAACGCATGCGCCAGAAGCTTGTTCTGCCGCTACGCCGATTTGTCCGACGTGAGACGCTATAACTCGTGTGGGCAGAAGACTGGGTGCCGAAAGAAATAAAGCAAGAGAGAGAAAACGATAGAAAGAAAACAGAGAAAACGGAGAAAGAGAAGGGGAACAAAGTGAAAAAAACGATACGATGACAAAGAGTTAGAGAAGGAGAAACAAGGAAAGATATGGAGATAAAAATATTAGGCAGTAAAATAGACAAAAATAACACAGAGAAAAGAAATATTAAGAGAAACAATTAGGAAAACCGCCCAGCTCCACTAGGGGTTCCAGCTTTGCGCCGCTATGCCGAAAGCTGCGCAGATATTTTCGGCAATACCAATTTTTCATTTTCGAAAAAAAAAACTTTGACGTTTGTAGTATGGTTATTATAGAATCCTATAACAAACATTTCCACACCCGCACTCTACGCCGTGAAGTGTAGATAAATATGTTGCCGCAGCGAAAATTCGTTCGTTAGTTACTTTATTATTGACGCAGGTCATATTCTCCGCCACTTCCAAAACTCACAAGAGACGACGGCACTGACTACAGGCGTCTTCAAAGCAACACGTTCACCTACGGCGTACTATTGCACCATATGAGGCTAGCGTTGCACAGCTACATCTGTCCTCACTGTAAGCGTCCCAAGACTACGAGCAGCAGCACCAGATGCGGACCTCCTCAGTGAAGCGTGGGAGGCTGCGATCTCCCAGCCGGACCTGGTCGAGCAGCGTCAACTCGTCGCTCGAGCTCGGCGGGCTGTCCAAGCCAGAGGGTTCCTGGAATAAGGGACCCTCCCACCTTCACTCACAAGCTTCTTTCAATAAATATTTTCTCTCTCTCACACACATCAAGGCAGTTTACGTAAGAAAGTTGCAGTGGAAGGTAATTTATGACATATACCCACTTTTTCAGACACGATACTAGTTGGCTGCTGACCCGCAGGTCGCGGGTTCGAATCCCGGCTACGGCGGCTGCATTTCCGATGGAGGCGGAAATGTTGTAGGCCCGTGTGCTCAGATTTGGGTGCACGTTAAAGAACCCCAGGTGGTCTAAATTCCCGGGGCCCTCCACTACGGCGTCTCTCATAATCATATAGTGGTTTTGGGACGTTAAACCCCACATATCAACGATACTAGTTGGGCACGTCTGATATAATTGGCAGGTGAGAACAGAGAGTCGTTCACCCCTCGCGTTTATCTGTGCTCTGCCCACTCTCCTCTCTTCACCAGCCGCACGAAGAATCTAGCCACCCTACCAAGGGGGAACGACACCGGCACCGATCTTAGGTTATCGTTTCTTGCTCCACGCGGCTCAGCAAGAGTTCAGGAAGCATTCTAACCGGCTGGCACCTGAAGATGGCGACGAAAGTGACGTCAATGCAACTTATGACAAAGCATCCACGCTAGCCACGGGGGGGTTGTGTTTTTTTTTCTGCTATTTCTATGCACTGCGTCAGTGGGAGCAGATTGTCTTCCAACCTCCTTAGTTTTCGAAACCCATTCTGCAGTTCCCGCAGCACCCCCTCATCCTCTATCTATGCCTGCAGTTTTTCCTTTATAATCTGCATCAACAGCTTGTAAACCACTGATGTCACTTTTATAAGACGATAGTTGTTTATGTCAGCTTTGTAGCCTAGCCCTTTCCTTTATAGATCATGCTCATTCTGCTAAGTTTCCATTCATCAGGGACTCCACCATCGATTAGTGTTTTGCTTGCTGCCTCTCTCTAAGACTGTTTAGACTTGAAACCTAATTCCTTAATAAGCCTGATTGGGATGCCGCCAGGGCCTGTTGATGTGCTACTAGGAACCCTCTTCTCAACCCTTTCCCACTCTCATTGTGAAAATGGAGCCACTGCACCACTTGATCCATCCTTGTCTATTAAGATGCACAAGGCACTTTCATGTTGAATTTTTTTTCTGTCATTTTTGCTCTTATATGTTCAATAGCTTCGTCCCCTTCTAGCCTAACACCTTGAGCTGTAGTTATAAACCTCTGCTCTAGGCTTGTCTCGTTTCTTAGAGAGTTTAGATGGTTTCAAAATTTTTCAGCTGCATTTCTATTCTTTTTATGTACTTCTGCCAGCCACTGACCCCCCTTTCTTCTAATCTTTTCATTGATCAGAAGGGATGCTTTTTTTCTACAGCTTTGAAAGAGATGCCGTAACTAGCGCCACATGACGGCAAACTGCGTCATTGAACTACAGTGTACTAGAACATGGGTTAGTTGAACTACGTCTTTTTAAATTCGTGGTTCTCGTTACGTGAAATGTCCTAACGTCAGGGCTTGAAATCCGACCATTCGTGAATCACAGCGCGGACTTCAAAAAATTACGCATATTCTACGAAATCAGATCTAGTGTAGGCATAGGTAGAGTGTACTAGAAGTGTAGCATGTGCGTGCGCATGTGGAAGGCCGATGATAGGGAGCCTTCATGTGCGCGCCACCTCCGACGGAGCCGACGCGCACATGAAGGCTCCCTAGCTGAGGAAGGCATAGCGACCTAGAACCCCTGATTGTGAATTCAAAGAGCATTTTACTTACACCTTTCCTTAGGTAAGGCGGGGCTCATTGCATGCTGTTGTGAGAAGCAAGCCATTTTGGTAGGTGGTAGTTCTCTCCGGTAGGCAAGTGGTAGGTGTTCTCCTATTTTCATTTGTTGCATCGACACGGGTGTCGCTGGAGCCGCCCCTAGAATTTTCGTCTGCCCTGTCTTCCCTTGCTCTATCAAAATCAAACATATTCAAAATACAACGCATGAGTTCAACCCATTAATAACCTGGCGCACCCTAGCATCTGGTTAACCTCCCTGCCTTCCTTTTTTTCTCGTTTCTTTCTCTCTCTCTCCTATGTGTTTATAGGATACCACTGATGCCCACATTATAATCAACATCAAGCAATGGTCAGAGCAATTATGCTGTTGAGGAACACGTTCATTCACAATATTCAAATGCTAGTCTCGTGGGGCCACTTTATACTGCATCAACTTTTCTGAGAACGGATATACACCTTGAGCTGGAAAATAAGCACCTGTGAAAATGTGCTAGCTTTAATATATCAGGCCCAGTTTACATCAATATTTATTGCAGAAACCTGTCATGGCGATGCCCCCCCCCCCCCTTTTTTTTGTCCCGAGGCATAATTTTTTATTCAAAAATACACATGCGAATTGGCTTCCTGTGTAAAGTCAAATAATGAGCAGTGTAAGAATATTACAAGCAGAACAGTTTCATTGAATATTTTAGCAGATAAATTCACTGATCACACCTTTGATGCAGATGTATACTGGTATGTCCAGACAACTATTCACCATTTTCCATTTAGTATGCCCTGATTAGACATGCTTGAGCAAGCCACTTTTGCAGACCTTTACAAATACATGTTCTTAACAGGCAGGAATCAAATACGAAACAGCCCTCAGTATTTGTTTTCTTTTCCTCGTTTATTAACAAGCATACAAATACACGGGAGGAGACTGTGTATACATCTACTGGTAGAAGTGTTTTTTTTTTCTATGGAGTTTACAAAGCTGAGCACACAGATTGCAGTGCAAAAGAAAGCATATGAAGAGATAAAAACTAGAGATCGAAGAGTTGAGAAAAACTCTAAGAGCAAGGTGTCAGTGTTCGTCAAGACAGCTAAATCAAACAAATAGCATGAAATGTATCGTCATACGAGCATCGCTTTGCACAGTATTTTTTTCCTTCATGCACTGTCGAACCTATGTAGTCCCTTAGAGGGGGGAGTATGGAAAATTTGGTGGAGGAACAGATACGAAAGAGCTCCGAGGTTGTAAGAAAAAGCATATGTCGCGCAGCAAACAGTATATCCTGTGCTCTTTGTACAAATGCACAATGTTTGAAGGGTGAGAGCAGCTAGCGTGTCTTCTCTAAGCTGTCCTTTTTTTTTCTACCGCTCGCTGAAAGTTTAGACGTGTCGCTTTGTTTCTAAAGCAGTGTCAACACATGGCAGCTATGGGAAGGTGGTAAACTAAATGCAGTGTATGCAGCAGAGTGGTAGTAGAAGTCCACATCAAACAAATTGGGGGGCTTCACACATAAATATAAACATCGAAGGACCTCTTGTTGCTTGCTTACTTCTGCCATAAACTTTTTTCCATCTACTGACTAGTGCTTGGTAATCAAGTAAATCTTACAAGAAGAAAAAAAAGGCAATCCTGCCATATAAAAGAGTTTCGATAAAATGGCTCAAAGTGTTGTTGGTCTGCACGAGAGGTGTAAAAAGCTAGAGCTAATCACTGGAGGTGAACGAATCACCATTTTTTAGCAGGGCAGTCAAGGAGGACGACAGGACCCCAGTTCCATTCCTTCCTATGTCGGCACAAGAGCCTCAAGCATACCGTCTTCAGTATAGCACCACCAGTGGCAATTGTTGTTGGTAGTAATTTCAATCATTTTAGTCCTCACAGTAGATTGAGCCAAAAACGTGCCGGCACTTCCATGGCTGAAGAAACTTTTTTTTTTGGCCTTGGTCAAAAAAAAAAGATGTGACTATGATGAACGACAGGTTGACCATGACGGAAAGCCTTCGTGCCACAAAGGGCACCCAGGTCGGAGAGGGCTACGAGTGAGTTATGTAGCACGTTTCAGTCAAGGCGCACACTATGCACGTGCTTGTGCAGATGTGAATGAAGAATGCTTACTTTACCAGCTTTCATCAGGATATCTCGCGATGTTAGACAAAAGAGAGAGTGAGTCGTACTGCCAGAAAATAATGCGCCCGCAGCACAAACATTTGCGAAGTAACTACACATCCAAGAAAGTCTGGTCTGTTGCTGCCTGAGAGGGGCACTTAGATGAGGACTTTCGTAACGCTGTCTTTATATTGACTCCATGCAAACTGCAGCATGGCTGCATCTACATTCTCGATAAACTACTGATGCCTGATTTTGAATCGCCATTTTCTTCTTGTATGCTAGACATTCATTTACAATGCTGCTTTACCAGGGGAACTTGCGCACCGAATTAAAACAGAGAGCTTTTTTTCTTCCTCTTTTTAAAAACACTTTCTCTATGTACGTACTGACTTGATCACACTTTATGTGTGGCTACTGGAGAGAGCAAGTTTGAGTGACAGATATGTAGTGAGTTCACAATGAATCAGCTGTACATTTCAGTCAGTGGCATGTACCAAACATAATACACTCCACATTTTGGCCCCTTTGTTACGAACCTGCTAATTAAAAGCCAAAGAAATCTCACATGCTTCAGTTGCCTTCTCTCTTTACTTTCATTCACTATTATTATTCTAATTGAGTAAAAACAGTGTGTGCCATTATACATGAGGCACGTATCATAAGTAAACTTGTAGAAAAGGAAAAGAAAAAGAGATAAACTTTGATATCAAAGCCGGCTGTAATGTTCCTACACCTGTGTATAAGGTACATGATTTTAAAAGTTGCATATATGGCTAACTGTTCTCTTAGCAATTACAACCATATAGCATGTGTTTGGTAAGTGCTGTATGTAAATGTTCAGCTGTCAATGCAGCTATCCGTCTCAAAACTTTGGCTTACTGATGCATGTAAAAAATTGAGCACTGTCCGAAACATTCCAGCTTCTCAAACAGCTCAACGCATATGCGTATAAAAAAAATGTCACCTAGCTGGCATGGCCACTTTGGCAAAGGCATGGTATCAAATGTTTTGCATACTAACACCTTAATCTGACTTACAGTCTTAGAAATGTAGCAATACGCAATTATTTTGAATATGCAAACAGCACTCTCGTAATACTGTCATATCTGGTCGCTACAACCTCCACATGGGAGTACGGTAGAAAATGCTTTCGTAAACTCATCCTTTTACATAAATCTTGCAACACTGACATCTATACTTAGTTCTCAAAGTGACAGTCACCTCAATGTTATCTTTGGTTCCTAGAGGAGATGAAGGGAAACTTCAACACGCAGTGCATTGTACAGGAACAGCTGTCAAAGCCTCCATAAGTTTCGAAGCTCAAGGCTCGACACCACTGCTGCATCACTGACCATTAAAAACATAGACCTCGCAAATGATAAGCAGTCTGAAGCAAAATAACATAATGTCACGAGAGCTCTGGTACACAGAATAAAGCATCACTCGAATGGGATGTGACAAGGAATGAGAGGGATCAGCATGCAATTCTTCGGGGTTCTTGAGGGGGACAGCTCAACACCACAAGGTTTTCACTTGCATACCCAAACCTCAACCACTTGTGAACCGAAGCCCAAGCTTCAACCCAAGCAAGTTGCCACTTGCAGCACTGCACGACTGGTTCTCAACATCAATGCACTCAGAAATGTATGTGTGTGTAAGTGGGTGGTTCCATGTGTATTTACTCGCCGGTTGGTGGGTTCATACAATGAATGTTACTGGGTACAGTTACGGGAGCAATGTTTACAGAAGGCTGCGGAAAGTCGTGTAAAGTGGGGAGACAAGATGCAATGCAGCACCGTGATCTATTCAGAGGTTCTTCAAGAAGCTTTTTTTCCCCAGCAGAAAGAAGGTCGAAGTTGCACCAGGGTCCACAACTGACAAACTCCGACAATTACACAGCATTAAAACTTATTTACACAGCTGCATATAGTAAAGAAAAAAAAACAGAAATAGAAATGCATGCCACACAAGCATGCCGCACCAAGAAAAAGAGCACGTCACATGCAAATATAGAGCTGTCACTGCTCGCTATACAGCAACAACCAACTTGAACCTTGTCACTGAAGTCAAAGCAACCATCAACTCCACATCTTGGAAAGGCCATGGTACACAGCTGAGGTAAACAAGATAGCGGGGGGGAGTAGGCACAGAAACCTTCACACTACAAAACAAACCGACAACTCCAAATGTTTTCAGCAAATTTGTATTGTTGACTCATTAACAGCTGCAATTATATGCACACTCATCCCTTTACAGAAAAGTTGTAGGTTGTAAAAAGAAGGCATAAGTTTGCTACAAGATAGTAACTGTAGCAATGGCAACCTCAGAATGCAGGTGGAAGAAGGTGCCGATAGAAGTGGTTCACATAACTTTATATAGCAAAATAGTCGATCCAGCACATCACTCTACAGAGCGACGGGATTGTGAACAACACTTTTCCGACAGCATAGAGATGAGCATCAGGCAAATATACCTCACAAGTTCGATGGCTTGAGAAGCAAACATTTCCCCCAGCATACGGTTACACAGCCCGTTGGTTCATTTTTGCTGTGTGTTGCGGGCAGACTGTGCCTTTCTAACATATATTTTTTAATTGAGAACCACAAAATAAATCGCGATGACATAAAAAATAAAAGCTTGTTATATGTAACTCTTTTATATAGCATTTAGAGTAGTTCTACAGTTGGTGACATGATGGAGTTAGCCACAAGACAATGACAAAAGTCTTCAGCACAGCTGTCAAGCTCCTGGACAAAAATAACAGACTCAGAAAGCTAAAACTGCAAATGCTATATGTTGTATACACTTTTGTTCTGAGTGTGGTCTAGAAAGAGGTACGCGAACATAAAATGCAAAAATACAGGCAATGGTGACAAACAACACTGTCATCAACGCATTGCAGTAATGCTATACCAAAACAGTTTAAATTTGTGTGTGCACCAAACGTAGGAGCCCCACGCCCTCAGAATAAAGGAGCTGAAGGGAAAGATTAACACTGACACATAGTGCTCGCATTCTTTTCCCTCGCACTGCCTCCCACTCTCATATCTTATGAGAGCAGTAAAAGATGTGAAACATCTTCTAGTTGTTCAGCTGGGAAGTAGCATTTTCATGAAGTCTATACTCTAAGTGAAACCATTTTGATGGCAAGGTGTAGTGTGCCTATGATTTAGTAGTGCGATGAATGATGAACTTGAATGCCAAGCTTTTCTGCTCATTTTTTTCTTCTTCTCTACAAAAGATATCCTCTGCTTGCTTTTTTAATTGACCCTTTAAAAAAGTTTTAGCTACCTTTCAAATTTCTTTAAAATACATCGTGATCAAAAATAGTTTCCTGCTTTTTGTCTGAGGATGTCTCTTTCATGACCGTGCTCACATTCGCAATTTTCTTTTTCCTTCTCCAGTTTCTTGATAAGGTGTACTGGAAGCTTCTTTGTCCCGTAAGCATGTCGTGGAAGCAACAAGCTACAATCGTACTAGCAGAGTGAAGCAATGGCAGGTTTCTACAATGGCGTCGTTGTTCGTCTCAGCTGTGCTGGCTCTGTCTGGCAACAAGGAATCGACAAGTGCCAATGCAGTCCCAGTTTCTATATGGATGGATCTACGAGGCGACCAGTGTTGAGACTCTACGAAAATGTCATCCGAAAACAACAACGCAAGAGTGTTCTCAAATCTTGCTCTCAAGAGGGTCACTGAAAGAAACGTTTCACGAGAGAGACAGATTCCCTGCGGGCATCACCTGCACAATGTTGCTCGTTTGAAAAACACCCACGTCAAGAACACAGATTTAATTAAAATCTGCGAACTCCGGAGAGTGCTTGCTTCTGTAACTTACTGTCCAGGAATTGTTACTGATGCATAGATTGCTTTTATTATGTTTTATTTTTATTGATTGACAGTTCCACGAATTCTCACATGACCTACTATTCGTACGCTTGGTACATTTTGGCCACCAATTTTGACAGCCCACAATTGTTGCAATGATGCTTCTACACTTCTGAACATAACATCTCTCTCTCTCTCCCGAAGCATTCAATTCAGTGGTCTGCTGCAAAGAATGAAACGATCGCATTTTCTGCCCGCATTAAAGATAGGGGCAGCAAACAAACAAACAAAAAAAGGAGTGTATGTGTAGTGTGTATATGTTGAATCTCCAAAACTCAGTTTGCGGCCACCTCTACAGGCTGTGGCGGTGGTTCCGCGACATCACCGTTTGCCTTCTCGACTTTGTCCTCAGGCTCGAGTTCCTTGTTCTGCGGGGGCTCAGCAATGACCTCATCGGCCTTTTTGGTAACCTCTTCGGCCTTTTTGGTGTCTTCGGTTGCCGTCTCCTTCTTCTCGTCGGCGACCTTTTCTTCGTCGTCTCCTTCCTTCTTCTCGTCCTTCTCATCATCTGCCTTTTCACCATTTAGGTCACCGTTCACATGGCCCTCACCTGTAAGAAACAAGTGAAAAATAAAGAAAGTTTTGTAAGTTTCATTAGTGCAGTCAATGTGCTCCATTAAGTTTATTAGAGAATTATTGGAGGGTCAGTTGTTACAGAGCCATGAAATGTCTATCTGCTATGAGGACAGGACATTTCATAATAGACAAGCACATATTGGCATGAGTGCAACATACAGAATCAATGGGTATAGTGTGTAGCAATTCAAGTATGTTATGCAGACATGTTCACACATTTTATGCCATCAGAAGGCATTGGCTGATTTCTGAGTTACCTAATCGAGTAAAAATGTGCCAAGAAAGCTGTTGCTCTCATTGCATACCTAAATGCACCAGTTCACTGTCCCTAGCAATCAATTGTGGCATAATATCTTGACCCCCCCCTCCCCGTGCCTACACCCGCTGCCGAGCAACTATGGGCGGTTTATGTTTATAACACAAACCATATAACACAATACGATCTAAGATTTATTTCTAGCTCAAACATACAATTGGAACACCAGCAAAGTGAAAGGAGCACACTCAAACGTACTCTTTAACAGTGGATCACGACACAAGTTATCACTCGCTGAAAATTCCAGCAAGCAAGAAGCAAGCATTCTCGTACGCACATTCAAGTACTTTGTCTAGCTGACAGCACCAGCTTATGTAAAGCAAATTTGGAGGGTAACTAACAAATAATTCCTTAATATTGCTACAAGGACTATGAAAGACAATATTCAACAGCATTCAACCGATCTAGCTTGCTTATAGCCTTACCAGCCAGAAAATATGGGACAAATGGGAGGTGGACAAGGATGTCGCCCTTCTTTGTCAGATCGCGTGGAAACATCCTTGTCCATCTACTCTTCTGTCCTGTGTTTTGCAGCTTCGTTGCGTGATTTTGCATTAACAAGTTCAATACTTTTATATGAGAATAACAGGCTGTGGAATATGCTGCTTATTAGTGGAGCCCTCCAGTAATGCCTCTTTGCTCTTGTTGTGATAGCAATTACATGTACACTCTTGGCTGATTTTTGCCGTTGCCATCATGTCCGTATATGTATATATTTATAAAAGGCCCAAATAAAAATGATTCAGATGAACAAATGCCAAGGTAGCTATTAGAGATTTGAACCAGCGACCCCTCGTGGGCTGCATTAACCAACTAGGCGCCGCCGCCCATACAGTCTATCTCACTAACGGCGCGCTATGTATATACACAATTTACTACTGGCTTACTGCCAATAGACTTAAAAGAAACATTCTTGAACAATGCATGTACTTTGTACTTTGTTTGGACAAACCATACATGCTTTTCTTAAACAATGACGTGTCCGATGGCGTAATCAATGGAGGGGTGGTTTCACTGAAACACACAGTTGGATGAAAGGGGGCAATTAACAATGCCTCTTGCTCCACTTTCACTCTGAAACAACAGGAAAAATTGCTCGCATCAAGTCCAAGACTATTCTGGAAGCTGCTGGTCCTGTGCCTGTGAATTCGGTTCCCAACGAAATGCGCACCGCCACTATCGCTTTAGACGAACAAACTCAACTCGCTGCCCCAGATGAGTTGTGCCGACGCTCGCACCTTTAAAGCATTGCACGGCTTCGATGCCGCAACAGTGTATGTCTTACCAGGAATCTTGCGTATTGATGTCTTAACATCTTGCTGCACAACTTTCGCGCGGTGTGCCTACAGGATGTGCCAGTGATAGCCACTGCAGACTTCAACGCAGGGGCGAATCCAGCCACTCATTTTAGGGGGGGGTGGGGGGGTCCTATAGAAGTAACAATGGATAGGGGGTGTGGTCATTACTTTTTTGTTTTTACAAGCACAAAAACTCTGTCATAGCGTAAATAGTGTTATTGTGTGGTGAAAGTGGTCCCCCCCTCATTTGTCCTGATTGGTGACAGCAGGTGGACAGCAAGCACTAATGAAAGGGAAAGTGGGTGCCGACAGGCTTTGGGGGTGGGGGGATCACCCATACTGCCCCCTCTCTGGATCCACCAGTGCTTTAACGTTAATGTACTTCGACGTGAAAACCAGTGACTTGTCACGTTTCTTGACACCAAATTTGTACTTCGCTTCCTGTCGGACGACATGTCGTCAGCTATTCACAACAACACCTGTCTAGATATTGTGGTTACAGCATCACTGTCAATTCAAGCACAATCGACCATGTTCACTACATTTCGTATGATTCCTCAATCTCCTAGCTTTACTTCACATTGGTCTTGTACCCAGCACCTCCACCAGTTGTCACGCGCTAAGAGCTCGAAGGAACCGGAACCATTGGTACAGGTTGCTCGTCTTCGTCTTCCTCGTTCACCGGCACAGAACTGACCCACTGTTCACTGGCACAGAACACCAGGTGGCAATATAACAGCCTGATGTGTTGCTATCACATTCATTGCTTCAGCCTTGTGCCGAAACAGTGCACTGAATAGACAGACCACTGAAATACTGCTATGCCATCAGTTGTTAAGTGACGGCGGCAACGCTTTACAAAAGTCACTCACCCTCGGTTGAAAGCTCCTGCTTCTTCATCTTCTTGGACTTCTTGACAACACCCAACTGGATCATGCTGTAGGCAGTGTCCAGGATCGACTGCTGTACATCGCGGGGCTCGATCTCGAGAACCTCGCGCATGCGTGCATTGTCATATGTGCTTGGCTTGTTCAGCTTGGACATGAGCAGCTTGGAGTTCTTGTCCACCAGGCTGTTGAGCCACATCAGGAAGTATGGTGCACCGGCTGTGGAGATACTATAACCTGCAATGCACGATGTTGTTAGTGAAACATTTTGTGTCTCACAGCACAGCCTGTTTACAAAAGCAAGTACTTTCTTTAATGAGGTCATTATGTATTGTTCATAATAGGAGCTACTGATAATATTGCCACTACAGTAGGGTACAGAGCTAGTCTGATTTTTGGTGAATAAAGTAAAACGTCGTGTCCGTCATCTTCGCTACAACTCGTTTAGTTTGTTTCACTACAGTGCCACTATGCAACATAAAACTGATGCATTATTTAGGAGGCCAACAGATTTTTTTTCTTGCGGCCTGAGAAACACGTTGGAATGATTATGACCAGCTCAGACAGCAGCATGACAGGCAGATCTACTGACATGCGCAGTAGTGCTTATAAAAAGCTAATCAACAGTAGTCAGCCCACATAGCTACGTACCAGGTAAATCAGTTTTTTTTTAGATAATGGGAATGTGAAACCTAGCAGTCCAGGCCACAACAGCTTTCAACAATGCTCATTACTTGAAACCATAGTGTGAAATTGCATAGTTACAGCATATATTAATTGATATGTGGGGTTTACCATACCAAAACGGCCATATGATTATGAGAGACGCCGTAGTGGAGAGCTCCGGAAATTTTGACCACCTGCGGTTCTTTAACGTGCCCCTAAATCTGAGCACACGGGCCTGCAGCATTTTTGCCTTCATATAAAGTGCAGTTTCCGCAGGTAAGATTCTATCTTGCGACCTGCGGGTCAGCAGCCGAGTACCTTAGCAACTAGACCACTGCAGTAGCTACAATACAAAAGGCATGAAGAACATGAAGAGTGTTGTTTATCGTGCCTTCTTTTCATCCCGTGTAAGTTTATGCTGCAATTTTAAATATGCCAACATGTCCAGCATGCCTTGTATTGTCCATCTTGTGTTCGTATTGCTCTTGTGTAGCTTCATGCTGATGCCTCAAGTATAAGCAAACAACAAGCTTCGCTTACCATTTTTTTAATGCTCTTGAATCTTAATATAACACACAAAATTGATACAGTTTCTTGTATATTGCTGCATACAGCTACGAAGCATTAGAAATTAAAAAGTGATGTGCCGCGTATCTCACCATGTGGCTTGAACTCCTTTGCAAGAGCCGTGGCCATGTCCTTGACAGATATGCACTGGTTGGTGACAATGTGGCGGTTGTCTGCTACCCCCGGCACAGTCAGCGCACGTACGTGTGCCCGTGCCACGTCACGAACATCAACCACACTCAATGATGCTGGAGGCACCAGCGGTATCGATCGGTCCATAAAGCGCTTGATCAGCTGCACATACATGGAAAAGCATAAATGCATTGCTCAAAAGACATAAAGATATCATATCATTCTTAAAATCAATTTCCAAAAGTGCAACAGCTCGCTGCAGCAATAACATAGCTGTTTTTAAATCATTTCTTTGCGTACTGCAGGTGCTTTGAGCATCTATTTCTCTATCTGTCTGTCTGTGTCTGTCTGTCTGTCTACATATTTAGCCATCTACGTGTGGGTGTTCTCGTGATCATCCCTCAAACATGGGGTAAACCAAATTAGTATGGGAGGGTAAGATGTTTTGACGAATATGACCCACTGGTCTTGACCTTAATAATGTCACAATCTTGTCTCATTCATCATCAAACCCTTTCTGCCAGATGTGTGGTACATACCTGCCTGCAGGTATGTGCCACAGGTGATTTAACAGTTTGTATGTATAAAGGAACACCGAAAACACACATAGGTAATTTAAACGCATAAGCATTAATAAACAGCTGATATCGGCAGCACTGACCCAACAAATGCAAAGAATAAATTTCAGGGTCCCAGCAGAAATCGAACCCAAGTATTCTGCGTGGCAATCAAGTATTTTACAAGAGAACCACGCCCGGTCTCTGGACAACTTTTAACGCGATAGCCTTAAAGAGCACGTTTCACAAAAATTTTGACGTCGGCGTCAGTGTCAGTGCCAACGTCATTGGTTGTAAGCAAAAAATCATCATCTTGTGCGTGACCGAAAGTAATGCACGCTTTACAAATACATCCTGTATACATGCTTCACAATGAAACATGTAACATCACTGTAATAATGTGTGGTACAAGCGTGCATTTCCATTCAGCGTCAGAGCATGTGATTATCATGACTTCATAGTTTAAAGCAGGCCAGCCACTACAAAAGGCATAGCCATTACTGTGCCTTTTCTCTTGAGTGCATGGCAACTTTGAAAAAAGTTCACGTGCACAATCGCCCCTGGTTGAAGGCATGCTACCCATTACACAGAATGCAGCCGTGTGTGAAAGCTTCACCGACACAAGCCACTTTAGACTTAATACGCACTAGGCACAGGATATAGCTACGTACTGCGTTCAACTCTTAAAGGCGAAGCTTAAGGATCCCTGAATTTTGAAATAGACCTTTACGTTCATGAAACATCAATTGTGCTTGCAGTGCAGGCTATCCAACTCAGTAAACATTACATATGTTCAACGCATCTTCGTTTGTGTTTTTGTAACTATTTTTAGCACCCCTTCGTAACGTTTCGTTCAATGAAAAAGTTACAACACGGTCAACTTCCTCCTGCATGCTTTGCATAACATCGTTTTTCGATTCCCGAGGTATGTGGGATCTGCTGAATTTTGTTTCTCCCTATACCTGTCTGCCTTTTAATGTACAACATGCTATCAGTAACATTGACACATGTGACAATTTTGGCAGATGAAAAATGTTTTGTCACACATCTTCACGACCCCTTTAGAAAGGAACATTAGGCAATTTTCAACACTGGCACCGTACTGCTTCGAAGCTCCACCTCCATTGAATTTCTAGAGAGAAGCTGATTTTTAAAGGAAATGAACACCAAACTTGAGTTCTGTAACAAAACACCCAGTCTTGTGCCAAAACCCTCGTGCTCACAAAACACGTGCTGGCAGTTATGCCTTATGTTTGGGTCCATGAACCAAGTATACTCGAATCTAACGCGCACCTTTTTTCCGGTTAAGCGAGTTCATAAATCGCATGCGCATTAGAATCGAGTACGAACAAAAAAATTACAGTCAATCTATTGCCATCGGCAAATCCAAAATAGCCGCCCTTTACGTGCGTCGGCACGGCCAGTGCCTTCTCTAAAAGGCACTGGCATGGCACGTCGGCCATTTCTGCCTATGAGTTTCCCATGTGCGGCACTTCGTACGTGTGCTGAGGAGTTCGTCATCTAGTAGTGCAATAGCATCGACGGTGTAGAAGAGCCGACTCCAAAAACTCGAGTGCATCACGCTGCTGCTTTTAAAAGAAAAGTCATCGCGTGTGCAGAAACGAACGGAAATCGGGCCGCATCGTGGTCGTTCGGAGTTCCCGAAATGTGCGTGCGGGACCGGCAGAAACAAAAGCAGAAGATTGTCGACAGCAAAGCTTCACGCAAAGGCTTCAGTGGACCACAGCAGGGTCGGTTTCCGCAAATTAAAAGAGCTGCTCGGCGGTAGTATGTGCTTGAGCAGCGAGCGGCACAGCGGCCCGTGACGACAGAACTGCTCCAAGTGCGGGCTATGCAATTAGTCTTAGAAAAAGGTCTAATGCCGAGCCAGTTTAAAGCGAGCAAATGCTGGCTAACTAACTTTATGAAGAGGAAAGGCTTTTCCCTCCGAAGGGGAACATGCATATGCGAAAAGTTTTGCGGAGAAGTACGATGAAAAGCTTCACAGTTTTCAGAGGTTCGTCCTAAACTTGCGGCGCAACAACGGCTACCTGCTTGGGCAAATCTGGAATGCCGATCAGACGCCTCTTTACTTCGAAATGCCTGGCACCACAACCGTCGAGAAGAAGGGGGCGAAGCAAGTTCGCGTGCTGACATCGGTCCACGGTAAAACTACAGTGACGGCAATAAACTACAGTGACGGCAAGTAAGATGGGCACAAGCTTCGCTCGTACCTCATATTTAAATGGAAGACACTCCCGAAAGGAGTCGTTTTTTCGAGTGGTGTGATCGTGCGGGCCAGGGAGAAAAATGGGTGCACGTTGCAATCGATGTCTTGCATTTTTGTTTTTTTTTCGCGGTGGAAATCGGGTGCGCGTTACAATCGAGGGCGTGGTAGAATCGAGTAAATACGGTAATACCAAAAATGAACCCTTTCCTTACCGCGATTTTTGGCTGAAAACGATACATAAGTAGCAATTTTATTTATTTTCCTATTGTATTCTACTTGGCATGAAACGTCTCCAAAAAATATTCATATCAGCTTCATTTGCATGAAACATGGAAACATTTTTTTACTTTTAATGTTCTCTTTGCAAAAGTACTTTTCCCATCGGTACATGACTTGAAAAATTCAGACTTAATGTACAGTCGACCTTCGCTACAATGAACGCTGCTTCAATGGAATTTCCGCTACAAAAAAAAATTCACGATTTCCCGTCAGCATTCTATAGGAGTCAATGCATAAGTATTGTTGCCACAATGAACGCTTTTTCTTCTGTCGTCCCGCTTCAACGAAATTTCATGATGCAATGCCAAGCTCAGATACTTATTGCTACTTATTGCTATGCACAAAACCGAATCTTTACTATTTCGATGCATATTCATAGCCTGAAAATGCGTCAACAAAGTCTAAAACAGAAATCGCCGCTGTTCATCAGTAAACATGGGCGCCCCCATAGCTCGATAGTAATGGCAATGAGACTGCCATGCTTTTGCCACTGACTTGCTTTTTTGCCACTGGCTTGCTTTTGGGCACCAGACGATCCGAAGCTGAAGCTTAGTCGCACAGTTCCTTGTTTCCTTCATGCAGCTGCTGGGTGCAACCACGGAACGATGCCTTTTCCGATGCTTATGATTATGTTCGCACTTGGCCAGTATGACAACTAATCAGAGCAGCTGTTCGTCCGCGTTATCAACAAAATCCGTTAGCCGTGAGTGATAGATGATAAGGACGGCGTGGAAGTTGTCGATTCATGATACCCTGCCTCCATCTCGGAGTTGTCGAATACACGCTGACGGCGGACAGCTGCTGGTGTTAACGTGTTATTTCAACTGTTTGGTTTGTTCATGAAGGCAGTTTTAGGCGTTGTTTCAGCATGCTTTTCACCATGGCCTGGCTATGCAAGGGTGAGAATCACGTGACGCTGCTGGGAAAGAATAGGAAGCAGTGGACACTTTTTGATTATGAGAATAAATGTTCCTTTGTTTTGCTAGCTCAGATCAGCTATATTTTTTCTATTTCACTACAACGAAATTTTTTTCGCACCCCGTCAGTTTCATTGTAGTGGGGTTCGACTGTATTATATTCTTCGATATTATAGAAAGGTAGGGTAATTACTATTCTACCATTTCGGTCTTTTACATCACATTTATTATTCAACTCTTACCAGCACGCTAGTGGGCACACCATGGGTTGTCTTCTGCAGCAGAGGTCCAATGCAGAGTCCAGGGTTAATGACTACCAGCTCAAACTTCTTCTCTTCTGCAATGTGAATAATGTGACTGTGTAAAAGAATGCGTTGCTGGGCAAGTTGGTTCATAATCTTAAAGCTTGGTAGTGAAAATTGACGAGGACAGTTGAAGCTACGTGAGCATTTCCTATACAGTAGACTCTTAGTAAATGAAAATCTGTTAAATGGAACTGCTGCTTAAATGGAACAGGTGTTTTCGGCTAGATTGGCTTTGTTCATGTATTCTGCATTCTTGTTTATCTCTAAGTAAGTGGAACATCTGTTAAAAGGAACATATTTTTCCGGTCCCTTCAGGTTTCGTGTATTGAGAGTCTACTTAAGCACGTTAGTGAAAATTATGTGTTCAATGCCCCATTTAGGTAGCGGGAGCTGAGGCTAGTTAAAGCATGGCGAGCAGTAATTTCTCTGACCTCCTTCTTCTTTCAGGTAGTGTAATGAAACAACCATTCGCTCATTACTAATGTTCTGAGTACTAAAGCAAGAAACGTTAGAAATTGTGTGATGCTGTGAAGCAGAGGGTGCAGCAAAAAGATGCTAGCAGCTTTACATTTAGAGAACAAGCATATGCGCTGAATGTTCAAATAACAAATTTACCTGGCAGCTCCTTGACAAAGTCCCATGCAGCCTTCTCCTGGAGGGTCTTAGCCTTTCCGTAGGCATCCAGGGTCGCAGACTCAGCATTGCTCCAGTCAGCTTCTGTGAATGGTTTGCCTTCACGCTCACTCAGGGCACTCGCTGGCTGGGACTGATCTGCAATGTTGAGAAAGGAAGTTTACAGACTTATGTCCATCAACACGCTTTTTTTAGTAGTCATTGACAAGTGATAACAGATCATTGACATCCGAGTACTTTGGTACGAGTAAAAGCGAATGATTGCCGCTTTTTAGCCCTAACCTTGCCTTGTTCGCCTAATTTACCAAGCACTCCAATAGAGTTCTCAAAGAGCCAGAAGTTGCAGCGAGCTGTAGTTTATTTGATTCTTTTAGTATACGTTCCTGCCTCACCTAGTGTTGCACTGCACCACATAGTGCTCTCTATTACTACGTATTCAGTTTCTTAGTTATGCCTCTATAATAACGTCCCAAATGACCCAATCATTGTGCAGTTGAATCCCTTTATAAGAGACACTGATGTAAGAGACAAATGGGTGCAAGAGACACCAGTGAGCCTACAGTAAAATACGGGCCTATAATAAAATGCATACGAGGTGCCCTGTTTATAAGAGACATCTCATATAAAAGACTACATCCGAGGGCATGCTTCTTACAAAGGGGTTTAACTGCAATATGATAATCTCTACATAACTCACGGATTCTTTGTGTGGTGACATCTGAAACTGAACTAAAATAAAATTTGTTGCAGTACGAGCTGCAAGCTGCACAAGCTTCTTTACTTCTGTTTCTCTTGTCATAGATAACAGAGCGTATAGTATATAGCTGTAACACAAGATTTAGTTCTAAGGCAAGTGTTTTTATTAAAGCAGACATTTTCAATATGTCAATTTTTTTATAGTGAGAAAACTAAAACAAACACATACACATGCAAGCACACACTCATTATTTATATGTGTGTGTGTCACTTCAATCACTGCGACTTCGATTCACCAAGCATAGTCAGAAGAAACTTGCAGGCAGCTCTTGCTTAATTTCGTTGAGCGAGCTTTACATAATTAAAGCAACAGACAATGATAAAGCATCGGACGCGTTATCCGAAGGTGTAGGTTCAGTCCATACTATTGGGAAGCTGGTTCTTTATCTGTTCTAATTCCTTTCCACTTATGTTATAATTATTACACTACAGTTAAAATCCACAATGAGTGTCCCCTGTACCTCTTCTGGCTTCATTTTTTGCTGGTTTAACTATATTGTGCCTAACAGAGAATGAACCCCTGATACATTCCTTTTTTTAACTGCTCGAATATTGTCATATAGTATGCTGCCTTGCTGCTACTTAACATCAGAAAACTTTTCTGTGTCATAATATCATAGTAATGGTGATGACCTAGGGTTGAGAACTTCAAGACAAGCTTTAATAGGTAAACTGAACATCTGATGAATATTTCCCAAGTTTTATATCAGCTGAATCTCATTCTTGTACCTGTGAAAAGTAAACAAGAGCAACTAAACTTAAAAAGTAGGTGCTCATTTCTCTTAAGGTAACCTACCAAAGACGGCACTGATGGAGCTGGTGAGGACAACCCTCTTGACAGTGCCCGAGTCAGCGCAAGCCTGCAGCACAGCCTTGGTGCCATCAACGGCCAGCTTGAGCAGATCATTGTCCTTGGACAGTGAGGAGTGTGGTGTTGGGGCAGCCACATGCACCACATAGGTGCAGTCTTTCACGGCACTGCATGGAAAAACATGAAACTTGTAAGGCTATCAGTCGTGTACGCAATTCACTACCTAGAAAAACCAGCAATTTCGGGACACCTACACTGCTGTTGATATAAAGCTAGAGGATGAGTTGAAGATTTTTGAAGTTGAAGATAAGAAAGAAGGACAAGACGAAATGGCTGTTACACTAAAGTAAGTTAACAATAGTCTTTCGATGAATACAGTGTGAGGAATACACCTTAATAATAAATTTTTGGATATAACAAACATTTATAGTCATATAAGATGCTACTACATTATAATAATGTGTGAGTGTATCTCATGTTTGCTGTAGGCTTATATTGCATGCTGATACTGAAAAGAAACATCTTACACTTGTTTAGTTCATTAATTCACTATGCAAGAGTTAGACTGTACTTGTAGACAATAAAGATAAATAAATGTGTGCAGAGTAGAGAAGGGTAGCCACATGTACTCAACTCTTTCCAAGTGTCCTCCTTGAGAAGGTCTGCCTGTACCAGCTCGATGGGGTGCTTGGCATCAGGCACCAACTCACGCAGGAACTTGGTCTTGTCCTCCTGCTCGAGGTTGCGCACCGTGGCACGGACACGTAGCTCACCTTCCTCCAACAGCAGCTTCACAATGTGAGAGCCCACATAGCCTGTGGCTCCCGTCACCAGCACGACTGAAACAAGAGCAAAACAAAGAGTGCCTGGTGAGTGGTCGTGAGATCGCAAAAGGCCCACACAATGGCCAACAAACGCCAGTCATCCACTTGCAGAGGAGGCTGCCTCAAAGATGACATTGCATTTTTCATTTGGCAATGAGAAAACTTTCACAACGAACTAAGTGGCAAAATAAATTGACCCATTAATGCATGCAAGTATGCTATTGTCTCTTATGTGCCCACAAATGATAACTATATAAAGATACCTTTTTTTTCCCATGTTTATATTTTCTATGACGTCATGTTAACAATGAGCATAATTTTTCATAATGAATTACTCTATCCGGTGCGAATTATTTTAAAACGAGGTGGGTGCTAGAACGGTGGTTTAGCCAAAGGGTGGCACACTGGGCTGCACCCATTCCCTCAGAATTTTTTTTTTTTGCCAATGTCATAAAGAGCACGTAATTGCACTCAACCACATCTGCCTGCCCGCACTCAAAACGAAAGAGTTGCCCTTCGTCCCCCTAACATTTCTGCCTATGCCCCTGTATTAGAGTGAAGTTGCATATGTACAGGTGAGGCAGTGTGCCACCTCCATTTTAGTGCTCTGGATTGTCAAGGGCATTACGCGGCACAACAGGACAGTCTAAGTATTTTTCTGCCCCCCCCCCCCTTCCCACCGAGAAAGTTTGAGGTGATTAAGCATTAACATAAAAATATAAACAACAGCCAAACACATGTAGCTGTCCCACTTTCTCAGTTTCATGTCAGCATTGCCACGCTTGGTCAGAGCCGTAAGACTCAAATAAATCACGGAAGTATCAACGACATCGAAGTAATGACAATCGCATTTTTGAAAACCACACGACAACGCACCACAACGCCTGCTGACGGCATCCGAGCATGCGCGCTAAGCAGAACTGGCAAAGCAAGAGAGAGTAAAGGAAAGGGGTAACAGCCGGGAGTGGCACGTGACCACAGCCCGAAGCTGTTGCTATGGGAACGCGAGGAGCAGCGGGAGGAAGGCGCAGCGGTATGGTGGCATTGGCGGACGGCTCCTACTAGCCCTGACCTTTGGGCGAGTTCACTGATCGCCGGGGAAACGTCGCCATGGAAACCGCATGCGAGACGTCACGTGACTTCCCTCCTCCTATCCACTCTTTCTTTTTTTCTCAATCCTTTTCTTTCTCTCTCTCTCTTTCTTTCGCAATCCTCTCCTGCGCTCGTCGTTTTTCACTATTCCGGCGCCGCCATCCCTTCCGCTCGGTCTCGCTGTTCGCGGCATCTCTGCATGCCGCGCACTCATCTATCGCTTCACGCCTTGCCATGCGCGTCCACTTTTTCACCGGCTCCTTTTGCTCATTACGCACTGCATTTTCTAAAGCGCTCTGGCATCCGCGAGCATTACTTGAGTGTATGTGCACGCACTGGCCATGTGCTTCACTGCATCGCTGCACCGCCGCTGCCATGTTAGTACGCTGCGGTTCGGCCCTCCTCCTTCCGACGATCCAAGTATCACGACTTCGCGCACTTCTTTCCTTTCCCAGAGTATATTCCCGCGCTCTGTTCGGGCTTCATAAGATTTACGTAGCAGCGTCAAAACTCCCTTCCTTTATCTCTCCCCTTTTCTTCGTTCCAGCTTCTTTCCCTGCTTCGTAGCTACGCGCGATAGTAAGGGATTGTAACGGACCACGGCTGCAAACACGAACGCTCCTAGACGGGTGTCCGGATGGGCCGGGCAAGTTATCCCGCGAATAACATGCTACCTTTAAGGAAACGACTTTTGCGCACACGCTTACAACCCAGCTTGATTCCAGCCTCTTCATATCTATGTGAGTGAATTATACGCGCGTGCACGGCGGAGTGCCGTACTGGGCGGAACGCTTTCGTTAACAGACAGTAAATCAATTTCCACGCACTTCATTGGAGAGATTGGCAATGTTTCCAGTAAAATAACGCTCGCACACAATACACGTGTCAATTCTATCAATGTATAGAAAGAAAAAAATGCAGCAGTTCTTTACACCATTTGTTCGCTGTTGCGATCACAGCCTTCCAACTTCACCAACTGAGTAAATGCACTGACTATTTTCTCGCATAATTGCATTCATGGGCGCCAAAAGCAAGGACGCACCAAGTGGGATAGCTCAGCGCGCTCAATGATTCAGCTACCTCGTTTAGCTGGCGGAACGGCAAAGGGCTCCCGCTTGTTCAACCTCGTCTAAGTAGTTCCGGTATATACGCATATGCCTCTGTCTACATCAGCGCATTCTTCCCCCGCGCGCAGCGAGCGCTGCAGTATACATCACGCCCACGTACAATAACATCGCGCCATTGTCCACACACAGCGCTGCCCTCGCCATGCATACTCTATAACCCTTCCTCGTATCGCGCTTCTAGCCCAGCGTTCTACTCGCACCCCACCCCTTGGTCACAGAGCTCTGATCCGAGCCACTCCGTGCTACGAAGAGGCCAGCACGGCACAAGAAGCAACGTCAGCGACGTGCTCTCGCAGCAGCATCAGCCCAAGTCGGGAGCGAACACCGAGGTACCGCACAAACACGGGCGGGGCGCAATGACGCCGACGTTTATCACGGGAAAGGAGGGGCCGGGGGTTGCGGAGGCAAGGGAAGCAGCTTCCACAGAGCTGGCGCAGTTTCGCTATACGCGCTTCTCTATTGCAAGCAGCCACCGGCGAGACGGACGTAGCCGGCTTAAGCTCTCTCCGATTTCGGCCCGGGTGCTCCATCGTTTGCGCCCCGATCGGTTTAAGAGCCCTGTTTACCGCCACCCCCCTCTCGAACCATCTCTTTCGTCGGGACTGGCCCGGATTGGCTTTGCGGTGCAGCAGCGTTCGCTGCTGAAATGAATGTTTATACACATCTCTCGATGCCATGCCGCATTGCCTATACACGGGCATCGCTTTCTTGCGCGTGCACGCCAGTGCGTTCGTTGGCATTCGAGAACATTTTTGTTTTTTCTCTCTCTTCTATGATCTCTCTCGCGAACGATACGATAAAGTGGCTGCTGCTCCTGGTTGATGCAGTCCAGACGAAAGTCGTATCAACTAAGATGAGAGTCGAAACCGAGTGCCGATGGAACGAGGGCTGCCGCATAGCCGCAATAAAAGTATGCATGTAACAAGTGCTGCGTGGAACTTAGTCAGTTGGTTGGAAAGGGTGTAGCTTGAGGGTTTGAGATCCCACGCCTGAAATCTTCACACATTTTGTATGTTTATGTGTAACACGCGCAAGTTTACAAACACACGCACGAACCTTCATAGGAGAATCGAAGCATCTGCAATCCCCCTTCCCAATGAATTCCGGCAGATCCAAAGGCAGATCCAAAGCTGACGGCGTGCTAGACTGAGGCCACACTGTGACGGCAGACATCGTGAGTTTAATGCAACCGAAATGCAGTGTCGAATGCGTGCGGCGTTTGTTGGTAAGGATAACAAGTGAGGAGGCAGATCATACGATATTACATTCAAGCACAGACCCCCCCCCCCACCCCCCCAAAAAAGAAGGGAAGAGCACTGTTCCCCCCCCCAAAAAAAAAAGAGAAGAGCACTGTTAACTATTACACACGAGTGCGTCTCTTAGAGCAACTATTCATGTAAGACACAGAAACGGTGCGAGTGCCAGAACTTGTCAACACGCTTCCAAAGCTCTGCAAAACCGACTTGCGCTACTTCAAGGCGAAGCGTTCTTCGCCACATTACATGGTTGTCCTACATACGAGAGACAGTCGCAGGGGGAGAACGCTGAGAACGCATAGCGACCGTCCCGAAGTGACGAGTTAATAAAGCTGTACAGTAGTGAGAAGGAGCCGCTGCGGAACTTTACTTTTGAGCGTGTTAATATTCCTCCAAAACAGATACAAAAGGTGAAAACATAAGCGCACGCAGTGAAAGAAAATAAAATACAGAAAACACTCGCTTTCTCCCTTTTCTTATTCATGTCTTCCACTTCACGAGCATGCTTTTGTGCACATTTGTATGCTAGAGAAAACGAAGTCGCGCGAGAATCATAGAAGGGATTCTAGCTGTCAACATTTATAGAACCCCCCCCCCCCCTCAAAAAAAAGATGAATAACGTAAAATGTATCGCTCTCCGATCACCTAAGAATTGAGATGACGATGATGTGAACAACGAGCACACACAAAAGGTTGGGGAAAAAAAAGAACGCCCATACCAATACAGGAGCGTTCCGAAGACGTAATAACCAATCTCCTTTCCCGCCATCATAATCGCGCGAGAAAAGGGCTGCGCCGCTCGGCGACAGCGATGATAAAGCTTGAAAGACAAGTTAAAATCGCGAGGAGAAAAAAAGATAAGACAAAACGGCGCACAAAAGAAACAATTGAGCGATTGAGCCGGAAAGGATGAGCAGCCGGTGACAGTTAAAGCGCGCTTTGGAGGAATGAACCACCGCCGAGGAAAACACAAAGGGCCGAAGAATAAGAGATGGGGGTTGGTTGGAGCGAGGGTGCGCCACATTGAGCTGCGATGCATCACGATTTCCCAGCACTTCGTATCTGCCCCCTCTTCCCCGCCGTCGCTGGGATTGAAGGATGTGTCCGGCGTAGCTTGCTCGGCGAGCTAGGCGATGCAAGAGGCGAGGAGGAGACGCCCGACGAACAACGGGCTCCCGCCGCGAACAGGAGGCACGCCGAGCCAGAGGGCGAAACTGCACACGCACTGTCCGTTCCAATAGAAGGATGGAAAGAGAAAGGAAGAGAATGGGAAGTCATTGGCATGAAAGCTAGATACTAATGGCTCGAGTCGACCGGGGCACCACTGTATTGATCTCACCCTCTCCAGGGGACGACGAACACGGCGACCAGGCAGGCTACAGTGTCGGCGGAAGCTCGGTTGGGTTGCTCAGAGAGCCTGTGCCGCCACCTCCAGTCACTTATATGTAACACTATGGGTCACGCCGATGGGGTAACAAATATTGAAGCAACCACTATGGGCTGCACGGTGGATGACCGGGACATTCCCGTCTTACGGCTT